TGCACATTGCTGGAGCCTGTGCCTTGTGAGAGGTCTATGTCCATGTCAATTTCCTCATCACTCTCGTCGCCGCGCTGCAATCGCCTCCTCGGCTGGTCCTGGTTTTGCTTTTGCCTGTCCTGGCTCTGCATATACTCCAGGACAATGCGCGTGGTGTTCATAGTGATCATAATTGCGGCGGTGATCTGAGCGGGCTCCATGATCCCAGTGCTATGGCGTCTGGTCTGAAAAAAGGCGCGAAACTAGTATCTGACGGACGGAGGGAGGGAGGGAGGGGTGAGTGACGACATGGTGTACAGGTACAGGGAATTAAAATCAAGAAAGGTGGCTGTGCATCAGGGAGAAACACAAACAACTGTCACACAGAATGGCCCTCCCTAAAGATTGAACTCAAAACCCTGGGTTTAGCAGGCCATTGATTTCACGGAGGGAGGGGGAAGCAAATGAATACAGAACAAATCTATTTTTTACATCTTAAGCTGGCAGACGACGGTGCAGCATGACTGATAGCCCTCGGCATCTTCTGGGTGCTTGGCAGAAAATACTGGGCGCTTGGCAGAAAATAGCATACTACGACTGATAGCCATCATCATCAAGACTGCCCAGGTGCCCATGATTGACAGCCACTGCAGTACAACGACGACAGATATCAGTCGTAATATACCATCTTCTACCAAAAGGCAGGGGGCTGTTGCTGTGTGCAATGCAGCCCCACGTCTGCCAGCCCCACGTCTGCCAGCACCCAGATCGCCGATGACGGCTACCAGTCATACTGCACCGTCTACTGCCAAAAGGCAATTAGCTGCTGCTGTGTAGCAATGCAGTACCACGTCTGCCGGCACCCAGCTGACATATGGTGACGGTGAGCTGAGCTGAGCTGAGCTGAGTGGACTCCATGCTTGCCGCGGTATGTCGTCTGCACAGGTAACCCAGGAAAAAAGGCGTGAAATGATTGTCTGCCGTTGCTCTCATGGGGGGGGGGAGGGCTGACGATATGTACCCAGAATCTCCCGCGACACTGTTTTTGACTCATCAGGCATTAGGATCTCAACCCAGAATTCAAATGGGCAGCGGAGACTGTGGGAACTGTGGGATAGCTACCCACAGTGCAACGCTCCAGAAGTCGACGCTAGCCTCGGTACTGTGGACACAGTCTGCCGACTTAATGCACTTCGAGCATTTTATGTGGGGACACACACAATTGACTGTATAAAAACGATTTCTAAAAAACTGGCTTCTATAAATTCGACCTAATTTCGTAGTGTAGACATACCCTAAGGGAGTTAGGAGCCTAAGATGTACACGCCAGCCTTCATTACCTGAAATCAAGGAGAAGCCCAGGCCTTGGAAGTTAACAAGAGACACAGGGCCAGGATTACAAAGGGGTTTAGGCCGCTAAAGAAGGAGATAGCTGCCTATTGGAATTTACAATAACATCTAAGCAGGTTAAGCTCTGAACTCCCACTATGGGACTTAGCCACCTAGCTCATTTAGGAGCATTGATCAATCCCCGTAGGTGTCTGTCTCCATCTTTGTAATCCTGGCCCACAAATAACACAGAAGAAGGGAAAGAATGAGGGAACACTGGGGGAGATCGTGGGCCCCATGCTATGTGGGGGCCAGACTTGAGGGACAGAATGGCTCTTTTGGCTTTATCACCTAGGCATCTATGCACTTGCCTGTGGGCCTCTGCTGCTGAGCTGTGCAGGGCTCCAGGGAGTGAGTCCCACTAGCCCTTAGGAAATAGACATGAATAAATCACCTTCCCACAGCATCGGTCCCTTAACACCAGTGATGCTAAAAGCCAGCGACACAAAGCTCATCTGCAGAGAGCAACAGTTCTATCATTTCAGTCTAGTTCTATCAATTCAGGCTCAGAATGAAGGGGGAAAGGATTCTCGGATTCCTGTGCCTTTAGCTTCTAGATTCTGGTATATAGACAGATATTGACTAAAGAATCCTGGTGCTGGATGACCGAATGTGTCATATGTTGGGGAAAAAACCACAAAGATCAGCACAGTAAGTTTGCTATTTCAATTAAATATGTTGGGGGATCATCATACAGGAGAAAATTAAGATGATAAAAAAGAAAACATTATGAACTCATTAAGACTTTTGCTCTCAGTTTAATCAAATACCTGCTGCTGATTGGAATTTTTCCACCCTTTGGGAAAATTTTGTCTTTTCACTGAAAACTCCAAATCATTTCCCCACCCCAGTTTTTGGCAAATGACAAATTTCAGTTGAAACCTGATTTTTTTTTAAATCACAAAACTAAAATAGCAACAGAGGGTCCTGTGGCACCTTTGAGACTAACAGAAGTACTGGGAGCATAAGCTTTC